TTTACTCCTTCCTTGAGTTGTGACAAATATGAAATTATGTAGGTACATAATATATTAATATCACCCTCCATATAAATTAAATGGTCCTAGGTTACGCCACTGATATGTATATACCACTGCATTCTAACTAGAGATGTTCTGAGTAGAAAATCTGGTATAAAGCCGGGTACCGAGTACTGGCCGAGTAAAATTTATAGCACTAACCGGGTATCGAGTATTGGCCGAGTAAAAATTTTAACACTAACCGGGTATCGAGTATAGGCCGAGTAGAACTGTAAATACAAAATTTGTATTATACTACTATCAAAGTATCAAGTATCAAATTTATAAGCATTAGACAGAAAACACGCTAGATTTATTTTTGTAATTTGTAGATGAAAAACATGATTTGCTTATAATTATCTGGCTATTGTAATTCGGTTCAGTTATTTCAATATGTACCAAAATAAATTATAATTTATCACCCGACAATTTTAGATTTTTCCCGTTATATTAATTATAGGTATGCATATATTTATAAATAGATTATCAGAGTTTGCCATTGGATATGAGTCGAGTAAAAATGAAGATATTACGCCGGTACCGAGTAATGGCCGGGTAAAAATGTAGGTATTACGCCGGGTACCGAGTAAGAGTCGAGTCTTAAATATGATATCGAGTACCCGGCCATCGAGTAATTGCCGGGTACCCGGAACATCTCTAATTCTAACCCGAATACAATTATTATTATTATTATTACTGTTACTAATACCAATTATAGGAGGCCGCCTACTAACGCTACGCTATGGAATTTTGCTAAAAACACGATTTATCGATTTGTTTACACGTGAAATGATAATAATAACAAAACCATTTACGATGGGTGCGTATCCTCGTAGGTATATTAACGTAAGTAATATCATTATATATAGGACACAAAATAATATATCGGTTTTACAAAATATTAAATGCTCGTGTATCGGTGCCCGTATAGGTATATAATAGGTATAATGTGTATTATCGCGATCAATTCCAGTCTATTGATTGCCAAAGAAATTAAATTCGGCTTTATTATTATATATTTTACAATACCTATAGGTATTACTTCGTTGCATATCGCGGGGTAACAATTACACGATCGCGCGCTTATTGTTATTATTACTATTATTATAATATGCCCATCTATGATGTTTATAGCTGCAGTTATGGAAACGCGGATATCTGACAACGATTATATTTCATAATCCCATAATGCGTATTTCCACCGATTTTTGAACCCCTTCACTGTTCACGCAATGTAGCACATAATATAAATATTATATAATATGGTTTTACTGGTTACAGAATTATTATGGTATACGTATATGGTGTACCTGCCGTTTGGTATATAGGTTCAGTGTACCTACAAAACATAATATATTATACTTATGTACAGTACCGGGACACCAGGTTCGGAGTATTCTCCTCGTCGTAACATAAAATATTATTATATTCGAACAAACTGCTGTATGTCGTCAACGACAACGTGCTGACGGATATTCGGTCTTTATCGTAGCCGTGTGGATGTAAATGTATAATAACACCATATATAATATACTGGATGTTTAAGGATTATATTTCAAAATAATAATACAAAATTATCAAAAATTCAATGTAGGTACTCCGTCATGCGAGTAGGTCATATTATTGTATAATTATAGGTAGTTATATTTATATAATATAATATCGATACGGACAAATTATTTTGGTATGAATGAAATAATATCTTTGAATACTTCATAGTGTGTATTTGTGTTCTATTTATAGATCCCGAATATACCTACGCATTTTTATTTATATAAATGTTTCGAAATCCGCTACCTGTGTAAGTTTAAAATAACACTGTAATTTAACAATGCCACTAAAATACTAAATATAAACAGTCTCTGCAACCACAAACGCAGTTGTTAACTATTTATAGTCAATATTATATTTTATATAGGTATTTGAGTATATTTAGATTTTAGGTTCCTATATTATTATGCCGTATATCATAATACCATTATATAACATAATATGTCATATTATAATATTATGTAGGAATAAGATTTTGTCAATTTGACTAAATTTTGTCTTTTGAGATATGGAACCGAAAAAAAAACATACATATTATTATACTTAGTACCTAAACAATATTGTTTTGTGATTTTGTAAAATAATTCTTACCTATATATACTAATATATATTATATATAAATATATAATATTATGTGTCTTTCCTCTTTCAAGAGTTATATTGTCTATATATTTAGGTTATATTAATATTTGACTATTTCCATTCACAGTGTACAAAACGGAAATTATGAATGAATTAACTTATCCCTTATGTAGGTTTAATATAATTCGTTTTTAAAAAATAAATTATTCCATAGTAATTTAAAGGGTAAGAGTCAATAATTGAATGTTTGAGTAATAGGTCCTTAATATAAATAAATAAAATTAAAATTAAATAATTATATGGTGGAGATATTGTATTGAATATAATTAATATAATACCTATGTGGACTATGAATAAAGTAAAAAAAGACTAATATACCATCAGCTTGATATAATAATATGAGCAGGGCCGGATTGGTGAGGCGAGCTAGGAAATCTCGGTAAGCAGCTTAAAGTTTAGGCCCGGTCGTGTGAGAGTGAGTGAAAATAAATTAATGTTTAAAATACGATGGGGCCACCTATAAGCACGTGATAATTATAGACGTAATTTTGAGCTTCTGAATATGTAAATGGGCCGCTTAGGAGTGAAAATTTCGATGGGCCGATACATTCCAATCCGCGGGCCCTGAATATGAGTAACAATATTATACTATATAGTTATAACATATTTATTATTTATTTAATAGTTTTTAATTTTTATTTAAGTATAACAGATGTGGGTATTATACCTACCTTATTTAAATTTAAAAACCGTTAACAACTTTTTAATTTTTATATTTATCTTCTTATGAATTATAAAAAGTGAATTTAATGAAATAATGACCACACAATTATTACCTAATACTCAATAGGATGAATGTATCGCATCTGTGTGACTGTGTACGAATATTATGTGTACTAATTTTATATTTAGTTTATATAAACTGAACGGAATTTAATTAGGTAGTGTAATAAAACTGGTGCACCAGTGTTGTGGTTTAAAATAACTTACCGGCGTACCTATGCTTTGTTTAAATATAAATACAATTCGTTATATATTTTATTATAATAATAATTAACAATTTGATAATAATAGTATTAATTTAAATATAATAAGCTGTTAGATTGCAAGAATTGCCAACGGGTAATTTGCAAGAGGTGCTATAATGTGTTATCTTGAAATAATATTAGGTATAATCTATATAATTATTATATTATTACTCGCTGATTTTTATTAAGTAAGATAGTTTAGGCATGTATAATTAATTATAATATAATAAAAATTAATCTTACTAGATCTGACTCTTATATTTATTGTAGGACAATATTTTAATAGGTTGTACCTATGTAGTTATAATATGACAATAATAATTATAAAAACGCACTTAATCTATAAGGATACAAAAAAATCTTTTATTCTATTATTGCAGGGATCTACGAAGGTGTGAAACGTACGGGTGTTAAAAACTGAAAGGTGAAAAGTTAAAAAAATTTCAAAAATAAATTGTTTCATAAGATTTGCGCGGGGGGGGGGGGTGTAAAAAACAACGAAACGGACACTGCAAAAGGTACATAATATTATATTAGTGCAGCACTATGGTAAAACGCATTAGGTAATATATTATTGTATTTTAATAAACTTATTATTTCATAAGATCTCACGAGAGAAATATCGCTAGTGGACAAAAATCGGGCCACACGGGAAAGCCGGGTGCGCGCGCGCGCACACTGTATACGCACGTGAAACTCGCGGGCGCACGGCGTATGTACAACAGCACTACGACAGCACGATGTAATATTATGCCGAACAGTCACGGAGGAGGATGCGTGCGCGTGAACGTCGAAGGGGGCCGTCGGCGGCGTTGGCGGAGGCAAGCGGCGTCGACGGCGTTTTGCGGTATAGCGCGACGAGCGAGGGCGGCGAGGAAGGGGCGCCAAAAGTCCTCCGGTCGTTACGTCGGACACATACACGTAGGGTGGTGGCGACGGCGGCGGCGGCGGCGGTGGTGGGCGCCGTATTTTAACACCGGCGTCGTCGTCGTCGCCACCGCCGCCGCCTGAACAAGCGTTGACCGGCGACGGCGTCCCCCACCAACGCCGCCGCAACCGCGTCGCGTCCAACACGCACACGCACACTCGCAAGCGCGTGACGTATACACAAACACAAATCCACGCACACACACGGCGCGCCCGCACAGTACGTCGACGCGAGCTCTGTAGGTGTGTGTATGTGTGTGTGTGTGTTGACGCCGTTGCGTGAAACCGTCGACGCTTGCCGATTGGCCGGGCCGGTCTCGACCAATCCGGACGCGACTCTCATTAACACTCGGACCGGGGCGTCGGTGTTGTCACATCGCCGCCGCCGCCACACAGTCAGTCGGCACCGAGCGCGCTAACCGTTGTCGTCGTCGTCGTCATCGTTGTCGTTGTTGTGGTCGTAGTAGTAGTAGTGTGGCGAGTCGTCTCTACACGGCCCCCCAGTGTTTGCACATTATCGCGCGCACACACCACCGTCATAGTTATTTACATTAATACATATACACATAATATTTATAATCGTTGCGTTTAATATTATAATATTTTTAAAAGTTTTTCGCGTTCGAAAACACTCGTCGAAACCGCGTGCGAACAACAACAGTCGACCGTCTCGCGTGTGATAATCGACATAATAATATTATACTAAAATAATATCGTGAAGAAAATATAAATTTCGTTTTGTATTGAATTTTTTTTTCTTCTCCGTACTCCGTCAATCACTCGTGGCAAACATTTGTGAATGCTCGTGCAGGAGTCTGGTCCACCGTAGTGGCTGGGTCAAACGGTAACGGCGTGGACGGCGTGGCTGTTATGCGGTTCGAGCAAGCGGACCTCAGGTGCCGGTCACCCCGTGGGGCACCGGACACCCCGCAAACCGCTGCCGCTATGACCGGTGGCCAACGTTCACCAGACACATCGTACACGGCGGCCCGTGCGTCGTCCACCGACTTTTCCGTCAGCTCGTTGCTGACCAACAATAACAACAACAGCAGCGGCGGTGCGCCGCCGTCCACAGTCCAGCAGCAGGCCGGTGGCCAGCAACAGCAGTATCCGCCTCCGCCACCGCCGCCACCCGGTCTGTCGGCCGCAGCGGCCGCCGCGTACGCCATGGGCGCCTGTTATCCGGGCACCATGATACCCATGCCAAAGATGCACCATGGCCCGCATCACCCCGGCGCCGGTAGCTATCCGGCCGAAGAGATGCTCGCGTTGGCCGCGGCCGTCGCGCACGGCGTACACCATCCACACCCGGCGGCCGCGCTACCCCGGTCTGTGGTCAGGCCCGAAGACGACGGTGTGGTCGACGATCCCAAGGTCACGCTAGAGGGCAAGGATCTGTGGGAAAAGTTCCACAAGCTCGGCACCGAAATGGTCATCACCAAATCTGGCAGGTCGGTCTTGATAAAATATAATTTACTATTATACCTAATACTTTTACACGCATAGAGTTTTTGAGTGTTAGGTAATATTGATAATAATATAGTTCATAACTAAGATGACGCCTAGTTATTCTATTATCGATGAATGCAGTTAGGTAGGTACTAAGTATACATATATATCCCGGTAAGCATATTATATTGGGTTGATATGATTTCTCTTTTTGAAAAATAATCACACGCTTTCGGTAATAATAATAACTTCATTATCGCGCCATGTTATTCACAATGGTTCTAATCTGCGTGATTTACATAGGTATTGGTATTTTTAGGTCTCGTAGTAGTAGGTATAATAATAATAATAAAATTAATTTTATTATAAATAGGCTTAGGTAAATGGAAATTTCTGTTATTGCTCAAAATAAATTATTTTTAATTATTGGCATTTATACCTATTACCTAGTCTATGGAATATTTTTCTTTTCATTTCCAGTAAAAATTAAACGCTTCATTATTATACATAGTATATATCCATCATTACCCAACTATTATGTTTACGGACTTAAGTTTTCAAAAATATTTCAGTCAATGTGTGCCTTATTATATTGAAAGTAAACTAGGCTGGTTAATATAGTAACTACAAGTACTTAGGTACCTATATCTTTATTGTTTCTTATACATTTTAATAATGTTTCGTAATCATAATTTTCAGCCCTAAATTAAATTATGGCAACGTAGTTTTACATTTAGAAAAAAAAAATTAAGTTCTATTTTTGAAGTGTGAGTTTTTTCAACGACTAATAGCCATAATCAGTTAATGTCATCGTACTGCGATGCCGGTTGGGAAGTAGGTATATAATGCACGATATTATATAATTATATCGTAGTTCATAATGTTGTATTGATAAACGATAAACGTCGCCTTTGGGCTATATAAGGAAAAGCTGTCGCGTAGCCCACACTATAAAATCACCTTAAACATTAGGTACAATGTAAATAATATAATATAAGTGCAGTGTGTGTGTGTGTGTACGATCTTTGGCGCCAGACGACAATTAAACCCAACATTGTGGACGCATTTCCATTATGATGATGATGATGAGTACGACGACGATGTGCCTAATCACTGACGTCGTCGCTACTGTTTTTTTAACTGCTGATGCAATAGCGTATTGTAGACATTATTTTGTAGTATCGTGAAAATAAATAAATGCTTATCTCCTATTGACTATAATATTGTACACCTATATATTTTACACGAATCGCAAACCGAAATCTTAGTTATTCGGAAAATATCTCACTCTTTTCATTTGAAATGGCTGAGTTTATTTTTGGATTTGAACTTGAGTTTTAGCCGGGTGTGTCGACAACAATATTATTTCATCGCGCTTCCTAGATAATATAAAAGTATAAATAGGTATAATTTACTGTAGCATAATATTATGACGTTTTGTGGAAATTCTGAAAAATTTCGGTTTTATATTTTATTAGCGAAACAATTATTTAATAAGAAAAAAAAACCAATGGCGTTTGTATATGACTAAATGAGTATTGACTACGATTGAGTACTATAATAATTAATATTATTCGGGATATTATTATTTTCTAAATATTTACAGTTTCATTATTATTATTGTTATTTGCTACCTGCTTTCCCGACAAACAATAATCGTTTTCATTTAGCTATACTCGATTTACATGCAAATGTATTTTATCCAAGCGTATAACAGAATAAATTAACTTACACCGGCGGTGTGAATGGGATATCAACAACGGATAACACATAACTATTATGTTTTTGAAAATACTGTATTTTAATTAATTGTAATTTGTAGTATAGGTATACACTGTTAAATTGTTTGATCTTTTGAATACACGTTGGATTTCTAAAAATTGATTATTCTTGAAATTAAAATAATACGCATATACATAGATATAGATACTAAATAGAGATGTGATATTTGTAATAATAAAATTGTCATAATCCCTATATTATACCTACTTGGTATTATTATTGTAGCCGCATATTTGTTTCATATTATTGTTTGCATGCCTAACATATTGGTAATATTTATCAATAGGTAGAATTGTAGGATACAATAGGTATATTTCATTGAATAATCATTTTGCATACCTAACCATAAGTTAGTTATAATGATATAAATATAAATAATAATAATGATCGTGATAAATATAACTCACTAAATGCAAAATATTATTGTACATTTTACAAGCAAAATAACAACTTGTAAATATTACTGTTTCTAGTAATTATTAGTTTCTAGTATTTCTGCAGATTATACCTTGTATTTCAGTAAGTATAAGTCAAGTTGTTGACTATATGTTGACATCATTCAACGATTAGGTTGACAAGGTTATAAAATCAATTATTTGAAAAGTTACACAATTCATAGTGTAAATGTTAGATATTTCTAAAGATTCCAGCTGTAAATATAATAGTGCACTACATAAATCTGTATTAAATATGCAAGAATAGCACTTGAATGGCTTGTTTTTTGTTTAAAGTGGATGTTATTTACTACACAGATTTTAAACGATTTTAAGTTTTTTGTCTGCTCACGGCTTTTCCAAGAAAATTTTACATTACCTATATAATATCAGTACATTATACGGTTATAACGTAATGTTTGTAAATTGTGACTATTGTACATTTGTTGCAAATGCAATAGTCAAACACATATTCTAAATCCTCGTTTTAATTTAATTTATGTATTATCTCCTATCCCCTACGTTTAAAATGTAGAATGAATGATTTATTTATCATGTAATTTTAAGCAGTCAACACAACTTTCATCGTCTTTGCTTCTGTATTGATTGTTTATAACTTTGAATTATAATAAAAAATAATGTGTAGGTATAGAATATACATATTACATAAAGTATAGATTACCAATTACTTAGGTATAATAGATTTTAATATTTATACCAACGATTATACAAGTAATATTTTTGTTTTGCCTTTTGATCCTTTTTTATTGACGAAAACAGATTTTCAATATTTCTAAATTTACATTATCTCTAACAAAATGTCTGTATTTACTTGAATCAAAATGTAACTAAAAATACCCTAGTTTATAATAGGTACCTATGTAAAATATTATTTATTATTTTATTATTTGAAACTATATTATAAAAAACTAATATTGACTTCAACCGCAGATGGGCATTGTAGTTCTATTATTTTTAATTTTGGCATTTTTATTATTTATTTTGACAATAAGATAATATCACATTATAATATTTCAGTTATATAAAAATAATTTAATCTAGATTTACAGATATCTATTAACAATATTATAACCATTTATAACTTTATACCATGTATACCTATACACATTAAACGACATTAAAGCAACATGCATACCTATATTTTAAGCATTTAGTAATATCTGAATAATATTATTAAACAATGCCAAAGGCTTTACATTAAATATTTTATTAAAATCACTTAATACTATACCTCGTATTATACTTACATGTGTCTACTAAATGTGTGCCTGCATACCAAAATAATTGATGAATAAGTTAATTTGATAAATACTAAATAATATTATAAATTGAAAATTCCATAGGTATACAAAAATAAATGTTTTGTTACAATAGATGAAAAATTGTATTAAATACTATAAGTTTTAAAATTAAAAGCCTTGCCAATAATAATAATAATAATGATAAATATTCTTTACTTTATTACTTATTATAATATTATAAGTATACCCAATCAATTTATAATTGTCTTTGTCGCAGGCATATAGCGGTGATTGGTGTTGTTTAAAATGTCATTATATGATATTATGAACGTATAAGAATATATAAATTTGTATACATTAATGTCTTGGTATATTTTTAAACGTAAAATTTGCATAATCAGTAATTTGTATTCTTAAAATCACAGAATTAATTGCCGTACAATTTCGTTTGTTGTGGATGGCAGTAATAAACTGATCAAGTGTTGATAAAAAAAAAATCAATGTTTCTGTGTATTTAGCATTTCAATCGTGTAGAAGATACTCATGAATGGTAATTTTGCTTAAAAGACAAGACCTCTTATACTCTTTTAGGAATAAAAAATATTTGCCTGTTCTTCTCACACTTTCGTGTACCGACCGTACTGAACTGCTTTTTGAAGTAAATTTTTTTTTTTTACTTCCGATCTCGCGTATTATTCCGTATTCGTATAGTATTATATTTTGTATACATATATAATATTGTATTTTAGTTTCATAATATTATTTCTGCAGAAACGATTAAAGTATAATATGCGCATACCTATACTGGCTACTGTATCTCATGAGAAAAACTGTAAATAAGCAACATTGCATAATTTATTTTAATGTTAAAAATTATCTGGTACTATAGAAATGCATATAAACCTTTTGGAAAAATATTGCAAAACTTTTTTCTCATGGTTTATACATTGTATAAGCTATCAATTAGCATTTTAAACATACCTGTAAATATATACAGGTATACCTTATATTTCAGACTATATAAAGTGTACAATAAAAGTAATCGCAAATGTTATGATTTATGAACATAATATCAAAGTGAATTATATCGCCGAGAATATTATGATTGAAAATCATTTTCGCAAATTTCCGTTAGCTGTGTGCCTGTGTCGCTGTTATACATACATATATAATTTCATTTTATTTTAAAATTAATTTCCTATCGCCGTTGTTGACACTTGAGGTGCGCTGTCGTTCGGCAGTAATTATATTATCCGTCGGGTATACAATTGCAGATACCCTATAACTGCTGATAATTAAATGCCTTAATAGAATCAACCTCACCTATATATGTAGTGTTAATGCGCATTATTGCAGTCTGCGCATTTAAATTATAATTCATATATTATAATAAACCCACGCGTTACCATTACACATATTTTTTCTATTTTAATCTAGTCTGAGCATAAACAATAATAATAATAATAATATGTAATAATGATTATTATGATAATAACGAAATGTAAGTAGACGGTAATAATAATA